CCGGGGGGTCCTCGGCACGCGCGGCCAGCAGGACCCGCGCCGGTTGGGCTGCCCGCCTCCACGGCGGCGGACGGCGCGCTGGGCTACTCACTTGGCGTGCCGCTCGGTGAAGTGGTGCAGCTTGTCCCGCAGCGCGCGCGAGGCGGGCTCGCACGAGATGCCGAGGTAGGCCACGATGGTGCTGGACAGCGCCACCAGCTCGTCGATGGGCGTCTGCAGTGCCTCCAGTCCGTGGATCAGCTCCTGAAAGGTAGTGGTGGATGCGTGAGGGACATGTGTCGAAGGCATCGTAGAGGGGTTTGAACGGGTTTGAGGTTGAGGCGCTTCCAGAGCACTGACCTGCAGCGTTTTCGTGGACTCCCTGAGCTGCGCCTTGGAGCGCACCACGAGGTCGAGATGGTGGGCCGTGTCCTCGGCGTCGCCCACCTTGGCCTCGAGCGCCACCCAGCTCGCGTCGAACTGCTCCCACTGCTGCGCGAGGCGCGCCAGGGCGTCGCGGCGCCCCTCGACGCCGCTGACCACCTCCTCCCACTCGCGGTTGACGGCGGCGATCTGCTGCTCGACGTGCGCGCGGTTGGCGGCGTCCGCGAGGCGCGTCAGCTCTCGCGCGCGCTCGTTGAGCAGGTCCACGTCGGACTGGTGCGCGGCCACGTCCTGCTGCGCGTGCGTCACCTTGTCCAGGTTGTAGTGCAGCCCCGCCAGGTTGGACACGGGCTCGTCGGTGAACTGGTACAGCTCCAGCAGCGAGCGCACCTTCTCCAGCGCGGCGCAGTAGTCGTGCCACACCTGGGCGTCCTGCTCGAGCTGCGCTTGCCGCGACTTGGCCGAGTTGAGCGTGTTCTTGAGCAGCTGCGTCAGGTGCGTCTGCTCGTTGGTGAGCTCCTCCTGCTCGGTGGCCCAGAGCGACGGCCAGATCTTGTCGGCCGCCTGCTGGATGTCGTGCGACAGCAGCTCGCGCATGGCCTGCTCGCTGCCGAAGAACACCTTGTGCATCTCGAGGTCCGAGACCACGTTGCGGAAGTCGACGCCGTGCGCGTCGCGGTCAAGGCGGCCGCGCGCCTCCTTGACCCAGGCGTGCAGCTTGTCCTTGAGGGCCTGGTGCTCGCGGCGGAGGGTCGCGTTGCTCTGCAGGTAGGCGGCGCGCTCGGCCAGCTCGTTGAGGAGCGTGTTGAGCAGCAGGCTGGCCTCGCTGAGGCGCTCGCGCAGGGAGCCCGGCAGCGAGTCCTCGGGGCGCGCCGCGTCCATGACGCTGCGGACCTCGTCCAGGTGCGCCAGCACGCCCGCCGACAGCTCCTGGTGGCTCGTGAGCTGCGCGTCCACGCTCGCGGGGTCGCGCGCAAGCAGCGGTCGCGACTTGACCTGCGCCTCGTGGTCGTGCAGCCAGGCCAGGGCGGCGCCCAGCTGGGCCGCCAGGTGCTTGTGCTTGGCGGCCGCCTGCTCCAGCTGCTCTCGAGCCGCGTCCACGGCCCGCCTCAGTCCCAGCAGCTGATTCTTGAGACTCTGCAGCTGCTCCGTCACCGAGTTGCGGTCCGCCGCCGAGCCCTCGCTCGCGATCATCTGGCCCTTATCGGACGCGGACGCCAGCAGCGCCTCGCACTCTTGGATCTTCTCGATGACCTGGAGGCAAGAATCATCACGTTAAGAGTAAAGTCGCCATACTACAGCACCCAGCACTTGGGCCCAAACTTACGTCGTGGTAGCGCTTGATCTTCTCGTCACTAGGCTGTCCAGATGCCTCGATGTCGCGCACCACCCCGGTGTACGTCAGGATGAAGGTGGAGATCTCGGTGATGAGGGCGATGAACTGCTCCCGGAGCAGAAGCAGCTTGCGCAGCCGGTCGATCTGCGCCTCGATGGCGGCGATCAGGTCGTCCTGCTCCTGGACGATGGCCTGCAGCTCCCCGATGTTGCCGGCGGCAAGGCCGGTCAGCGAGGACCGATGGTCCTTGAGGTCTGAGAGCAGTTTCTGACCAAACACACGAGAGGTGAACGCACTGGTCCAGCAGCACTAGCGACTACGGGGCCTTCACAGAGCAGACCACCCCTTTTCAATGACCAGAGTCAGTAAATTAAGGTTGAAAGTCGTTTTGATTAGTAGTCTGTGAAAACCCCTTTGCACATCAAAGATTACGAGGAAAAGGGATACATTACATGACTTTGGCTAATTATTTATGCATATTGCCACAATCACAAAACTCTAGTATTGTCAAAAAAAAAATGTTTTGCTTTGGCACAATGCATATTGTACACTAGAAAAAGAAGTTGAAGGTGGTACAAAAGAAGAAAGGTGTTCATCCTATATTCTCTGATATAGGAAAGTTTTGGCATTTAAAGGGGCAGTGCTGAGTTACAAGTAATAATAAAAAGGGTGTGGAGGAGTAATCCACTTTCCATGAGATTAATGGTCCGATAGAATATTATTTGGCTAAAGAGGAAGGAGACAAAAGGTTCAACATCTATAGAGATATGGTTGTCTTGGTTTAGAGTAGGTAAATTTCACAAGACTTATACAGTATATAATAGACGTATTAGTGCCACATGACACTACTTCTTGAACAATGAAGCATGAATAATAAATGATGAAGTTCACAACTCAAAAAGCAAAAATTGATGAATTTTCTACCGCATCTACATAGATGAGGGATGATATAGATCTCGTGATTTCACGAGTGTCTACAGATGTTGAATATCCAATCTTACAATTTGCATCTACAGCAATTAAATATGTGATTTTTTGAAAATTTATAATGATGAATGAATATTAAATGAGACTGATGCACCAAGAGTGTAAAAATTTAGGGTGCTGATTAACATTTCCCGCATTTCTTTGTGAAAATGTGGAGGAGGGAGAAATAATCACTTTGCGGTCTGAATGGTAATGATGACCGCCAAGCAATAGGTTTGCCTGCGTGAAATGCGGCGACACCTACAGTCTACTGGGGTGGTTTTATCTAGAGTGAATATAAAAGATTACAGTACTGCCCTTCTTTCCGGAGCCGTCCCACCTACTGAACCTGCCAACAGGGCCAGCCCAGTGGTTCAAATCATATTGCTAAAACTGTCGCACAACTCTCAACTCAACATTGGTGACAAATGGTCAAATTTTACTTGTTACATTACTCAAAACTCATTCATCTTGCTCCTACTTAGTGAATGGTACACTGAATCAAAATTTAGCACACTTAAAATAACAAATAAAAATAAGAAAAATATTTGAAAAATTACAGTGGTCATGTTGACCACGTCTTTCAAAATTTACACACATTACAACGTGGTACAAATATAAGTAGAATACAAAACTCGGCATAGTACGAATATGGTTCGGGGCGCTCACCTGGTAGTTGTCCAGCAGACCCTGTACGTCTTCGACGCGACTGCCGATGGGTCGGCTCAGCTCCTTGAGCTGCGAGTGCACGGTCGCCACAAACTTGGCGCTGTCCTTGGCCTTCTCCAGGGCGCGCTCGTGGCAGCGCACCGCGTCGCGCAGCGCCTCCAGCCGCGTGGCGATCACCCCCGCCACCACGGCATGGCGCACCTGCATGCCGGACAGCTGTTCGGACAGCAGCGCCCTGTCGGCCTCGCTCACGGTGGACAGCACGGCGCCCTGGCCCTGCACGAACAGGCGCTCCACGTCCGCGCCCACCACCTCGCACTCGCCGCTCAGCTTGGTGTACTGCGAGCACAGTTCGACCTTCGGTTAGCACAAGCTCATTTTACAGTCGACAGTTCAATAACCCACACCCCTGCGACCCGTCACCTTGGTCAGTTGCTCCTGCAGGAGTTCCAGGTTGGTAGCGCGGATCTCGGCAGAGATGGCAACTTCCGCCTCGTTGAGCCATTGCAGGCAGCGGTCCATGTCGGTCTCCAGCTGCCGACGGTTCTCCAGGAGGGCGGAGAGCGACCCCAGGCGGCGGGCCGTCAGCGTCTGCAGCGTAGCGAAGTCTTCCGCCAACGCTGTGAGAAGAAAGAGAGAAGGCATTTTTCAACAATATCCGGAAAATTTACAGTCTCAGCAGAGAAAGTGCAGTAAATTTGTCTTTGTGAAAACTCATCTTTGTCCCACTCCCCTTGAAACCGATAAACTGGAGTACTTACATTGAAGAGCTTCAGTCAGTTTGACCTTGTCCGCGGGCACGCAGTCCTTGATCAGCGTCTGACCCTGGTTAGTCACGTCAACCAAGGTCGTCTTGCCGAAGTACTCGGCGTCCTTCTCCGCTTGCTGGAAAGATATGAGATGACAACACTGCCGAAGTTGATGTGAGTTACCTCGCGACTACTCCGAATTCTCACCTGGAACTGCTGTATCTCCCGCTCCACCTTGGCGGCCTTGAGCGGGGCGGTGTCGCCGGCGCGCTGCAGGTCCGTGAGTCGGGTGCGCACCCAGGCGCGCGCCTCCTCCAGCCCGGTCTCCAGCGAGCGGCGCGCCTCGAGGGAGGCGCCCAGCGCGGACGTCAGCGAGCGCAGTTGGGCGCGCAGCTCGGCCTGCTCAGACTCGAGCGAGCGCAGCGCCGACTCGAGCGCCGCCAGCTCGCTGGGCTCCAGCTCCGACTTCATGCCGTCGACGCGCTTCGTCAGCGAGTCCAGCAGCACCTGCTTGCCCTCGGCCTCCTTGGTGAGGGCCTTGAGCGCCTGCTGCCGCTCCTCGGCGGCGCGCACCGTCGTGCCCAGGGGCGGCAGCTCGCCCAGCTCGCGGAGCTTGTCGGCCACCCAGGCTCGCGCCGCGTCGATCTCGTTGCGCGCGCTCTCCACGCCCTTGCGCGTCAGCTCCAGCACCTGCGTCTTGCGCTGCAGGCGCTTCTCCACGTCGCCATAGCGCCTGTCCACCGCCTTCATCTGCTCCTCCACCTGCTGCGCGTCCAGGTTGCTCACCACCTCCACAACCTGCTTGGCCAGCGCCTTCACCTCGGCGTGTCGCGAGGGGCCGGTCTCGTTGAGCTCGCCGGCGATCTCGCGCAGCTGCGCCAGCTTCCAGTCGCAGTCGTGGCCGCCGCGGTCCAGCTGCTCCACGCGGCGCAGCAGCCCGTCCAGCCAGGACGTCAGGTCCTGCGCCGACGCGCGGAAGTTGTCGATGATGGCCTGGTGCTCCTGCTTCTTGTGTATGACCTGCTGCAGCTGGTGGTCCAGCGAGGCCAGCTGGCCCTCCAGGTCCGAGTCCTCGCCGGCGGGGCCCTGCGGCAGGTCCGTCAGCAGCTTGGTGCGCTTGTCCGTCACCTGCACGGCCAGCTCCTGCATCACGGCCATCTCTTGGCGGGCCGCCTCGGGCCGCAGCTTGGCCGGGCGCGCGCGCCACTCGGTCACGTTGGCCAGCTGCTCCGCGGCCCACTGTTCGAGGGCGGCGCGCTCCTTGCCCCACTCCTCCAGCGAGCCCACGGCCGAGGTGAGGGACGCGACGCGGCCCTGCACCTGGTCGATGAGGTCCTCGAGGCGCGCCCGCACGGCCAGCTCGCGGTCCGGAATGGGCGGCGGCACGGTGTCCTGGGGGCTGCTGGGCCGCGAGATGCACGCCGCGGCCGCCTCGCACGCCTGCACAGCCACGGCCAGGCGGCCCTTCTCGCCCTGGAGTTTGTTGTGCATGCCCTGCGTCATACGAAAAAGATGCAAGTTAAAATTTTATAAATCGTTGATTTAACGAAATAAATAAATTTATCAATTCTGTCCGGGGAAGTTTTAAGCGTTGGGAACTGTTACTCACCCTGGCGATCTCAAGCTGCTGCTGGGCTTGCTGAAGATTCAGCACGGGCGCGTCCGCCTCCTGGTTGAGAAGGGCCTGCTCGAAGGTGTCCAGGTTGACCCAGATGGAGTCGAGCGTGTCCTCGTACTGCTGGAACTTGGCGAGCGACTCGGCGAGGCGAGCCTCGATCTGCAGCGCCGTCTGCAGCAGCGACTGGTAGCTCTCCTGCATGTTGTTGAGCTGCTTCTCGATGGTGGTGCGAATGTTGGGCGTCGACTTCTTGTAGCGCTCCACCTGAGCGCGCCCACGGTCCTTGACGCTGTCCAGCGTGGCCTGGTAGCTGCGGATGTCCTGCAGCAGCGCCTGGTGGGCGCTGATCTGCTCCTGCGTCTGGGCGCGGTTCGTGATGTAGAGCGAGTTGTGCGCCATCAGCTGGAAGGACACCTGCAGGATCCACTTCTCCGTGTCCTGGATGGCCTGCTGGTAGGCGGCGTACTCGCCCATCTCGCGCTCCAGGCTTTCCCGGCGCTGCTTGTAGGCGGTGTTGAGCTCTTCCCAGCGCTTCTCCAGAACGCGCACGCTCTCCAGCGGGGCCTGGCGTCCGGCCCACTGCGACAGTTCGGTGGCCTCCGTCAAGAGCTGCGTCAGCTCCACGCGCTTCCCGGCGATCTCCTCCTGGGCGTGACGGTAGCGCTCCAGCGCCGTCTTCATCTCGCCCAGCTCGGGGCGCGTCGCCGTCGCCCGGCCCAACGAGGCCTCCGTCTCGTCCAGCCATTGCGCGAGGCGTGCCCTGTTCTCGGCGTGGTCGTCCCAGCGGCCCAGGGCCGTCTTGAGCTGCGCCGTCACGGCGGCCAGCTCCCTGCTGAGCTGGTCCCAGCTGGCGCGCAGGGCCGCCATGTCCTCGCGGAGCGTGTCCTGGCGGTCGGCCGGCGCCGTGTTGACCGCCTTGGCGAACACCTCCTGGGTCGCCGACATGAGGTGCTGACCCTCGGTCATGCGGTTGTTGACGAGCTGCACCGTGTCCATCTTGTCCCGCAGCCAGTCCTGGTCGCCCACGCCGCGGCAGCTCTGCACGGTGCCGTGGCTGCGCTGCAGCCAGCTCTCCAGCTCCGTCTTGGCCTTGACGAACTCGGTGTAGTCGGAGAGGTTCTTCTGCGCGCGGGAGACGAGCCCCTGCACGCTGGTGACGAGCGCCGAGTAGGCGGACTGCAGCTGGACGGTGCGGTCCCGCACCCAGCTCACGGCCGCCAGCTCCATCAGCACCTCGCAGGCGTCGCTCAGCTCCTCGATGGCCGCCTTCTGCTGCGTGGCCTCGGCCATGAGCGCCCGGCACCGCTCCAGGTCCTCGGGCGAGTTCTCGTCGCCGCGCTGCTCCTCGGGCGCCACGCGAGCCTTGAAGTCGTCCAGCCAGAGCTGCGCGCGCTCCAGGCGCCCGTTCCACGCGGCCCAGGCCTCGGCGCACGAGGCCAGCGTCTTGTGCGTGTCGCGGATGGCGGCGCTCAGCGAGTCCCAGTTGTCGCGCAGCTGCTGGATCTCGCTGTGCAGCGTGTCGCAGCCCTCGGCGCCCGTGGTGCGCGCCACGGCCTCGCTGAGCGTGGTGCACTTCTGGACGAGGGCGCTCCCCTCGGGCAAAGTGGCACTTACCTGTGGATGCGAATTGTCACAATTATTGATTTGATACAAAATTGATAAGGGGGGGGGGGGGCAACTATAACTGGCTCCACCCCCACCCCCTCTCCCCCAAAACTGAAGGGGTTAGTTAGACCACCTGACTTACCTGCTGCAGACGCTGCTGCCGCTCCGCGTTGGCCGCCTGGTCGCCGTGTGCGTCCCCGCACTGCTGCACCTCCAGGCGGGCGCGCCGCAGCCAGTCGACCGCCTCCTGGTACGCCTGGCGGTACTGCTCGTGCTCTCGCACCTGCGCCTCCAGGGTGGCCACGTTGGCCGCCACCGTGTCCCTCAGCTCGGCGTACTTGTTGAAGCTCTCCTGGAAGGCGGCGGTGGGCAGCGTGGCGTCCTCGGCGAGGCGCGCCTTTAGCCTCTCCACGGCGTCGGAGTGGCCGGCGATGTCCCGCAGCACGGAGCGCAGCTTCTCCAGCGCGGCGCGCTTGTCGCTCAGCTCGTTGAGCAGCTGCGAGCTGCCCGCGCCGCTGACGGCCACCTCCAGCTCCGCCAGCCACTGCTGTAGGTGCTTGTGCGCCTTGGACAACTCTTCGAGCTGCGCTTGCCGTTGAGTCAGCCGCTGTCGGAGTTCGTTCACCTCGGCCGACAGCCGCTCAAACTCTTGCTTCAGGTTCTCCGTGTCCTCCTGGATCTTGGCCGCCCCCGACTGCTCCGTGTTGAGGATCACCTTCTCCTTGAGCTCCAGGGCGTACCGCAGCTTGTTCTGCCCCTGTTCCAGGGACTGGCGAATGGCCTTGACGGCCTGCAGGCGCGCGTTCACCTCAGTCAGCGTGGCGTGCGGCACCCCGCACTCGGCCACCTTGTCGCGGGTGCGCTCCAGCCAGTCCTGGCACTCCTGCGTCAGCGTGCTCAGCTGCTGGTGCTCCTGGTACTGCACCTCGAGGCGCCGCATGGTCTCCTTGGCGAGCGACAGCAGCGCGTTGTACTTGGTGGTGAGCTGCGTGACGGCGTTGGACACGCGAGAGTCGGCGCACGTCTCCAGCAGCACCTGCGCCTTGAGGTTGAGCGTGTCGAGCTGTTGCTGCCAGTCAAACAGCAGCTGCAGGTGTTGCTGGAACTGCTCAAGAACGTTCTTCTTGTCTTCCAGCCCGTCCTGAAGCCGATTGAACGACTGGACGAGCGTCTCGGTGCGGCTCAGCCACTCGCTGGCTTCCTTGTGTTGGTCTTCGAAGTCGGTCCACTTGACGATGCCCGCCTCGAGGAGGCCTTTGGTGCGCGCGAGCTGTTCCAGATACGTGTCGAGTTCCTCCTGCAGAAGGGCCACCTCCTCTTCGATGACCTCCCGCTCCTCCTCATCGGCGACCTGGCAGGCCGCCTCGCCCGCCTCGAGGGCGCGCTGCAGCTTGGCCTGGCCCTCTTCCGTCTCGCTCTGCAGGACCTTGAGGTGCCACGCCTTGCTGCTGAGGGACTCCTTGTCACCCGTCGGCTCGGAGCACTTGCCCAGCTTCTCCTTGGCGGCGCGGATCCACTGCATGAACTCGGTTCCCGCGTCGATGAAGGCCTGGTGCTGCTCGACCGTCTCCTTCTGCTTCTCGTACACCTCTCGGGCGTGCTTGCTCAGCGTCTCGTACTGCGTCGAAATGGCGGACGCGGGCTCGGCCTGCAGCAGGTCCTCGGCCTTGGACGCCACGGACTGGATCATCGGCTCGAAGGACACGATGTCCTGCACGATGCTGTTGGTCTGGCGCAGCGTCGCCTTGCGCTCGCCGATGCTGAGCGAGCTCAGGCCCGCCGCCACCTGCCCGCGCTTGGCCTTGGACACCTTCTGCTCGCACACCTGCTGCAGCTTGTTCTCCCGGTCGCTGATCCATTGCTGCAGCTGAGAGTAGGACGAGCTGTAGTCGGCCCACTGCAAGAGCGCCGTCTCCAGCTGCACCTTGGCCGTCGAGATCTTGCGCACGAGCCGGTCCCAGTCGGTCTGCAGCTCCTTGAGCGCGCTGTTGATGGCGTCCTTGCCGTCCGAGCGCGTGTTGCGCACCGTCTTCTCGCCCCAGTTGATGGCGGCGTGCAGCAGGGACTGGCCCTCCTCGCGGCGTCGCAGCAGCTCCTGGATCTGGTTGAGGCGCGCCTGCAGCTCGTCCCGGTCGCGGTCGCGGCCCGAAGGCGTCGCCGACGACGCGTCCGAGCTGTCCCGGATCACCTGCTTGGCGTGCTCGATCCACGCCCGCGTCTTGCCCAGGTAGTTCTCGTACTGCTCGTGCTGCTCGAGGTTGCCCTCCACCTTCTTGAGGACGTCCTTGGCCAGGTTGATTTGCACCTGGTAGCGCGAGTTGAGATGGCGCAGCTGGTTGTTGACGTACGTGTCTAGGTGCGAGTTCAGCAGCGAGGAGGCGGTCTGGTTGAAGCGCTCCATCTGGTCGGAGCCGTCCTCCAGGCGCTTCAGCACGTCCTTCACCTCCTGGACCTGCTTCCTCTTCTCTGGGATGGTAGACAGCAGCGCGTTCTTGTACGCCTTAACGAGGATGTCGATCTGCTGGAGCCAGTCGGAGATCCGCTCGTACTCCTCCTTGTACTCGCGCCACTGCACGATGGTCGCCTCCAGCGCGTCCTTCTGCTGCTGGATCTCCTTGAAGAGCGTGGTGAAGCTCTCCTGCAGCGCGCGGATCTCGCTGCGGATCGTCTCCTGGCCCTGGGGCGAGGTGCCGGCGAGCGCCACCTCCCCGCGGCTGCGCAGCGGCTCGAGCAGCATCTCGCCCTGGGCCTGCTTGTTAAGGAGCGCCTCCAGGGGCGCGAGCGCGCTCTCGATGGCCAGCTTGTCGCTGAGCGAGCGCTGCTTGAGCGAGGGCACCTTCTCCCGGGCCCGGCCCAGCCAGCCGATGAGCTCGTCGTGCGCCTCCTTGTACAGGCGGTGGTCGCGATACTGCTCCTCGCGCTCCGACAGCAGCGTCTTGATCCTGTCGGCCAGCGTGTCGAACTTGTTGAGGATGTCCTGCGCCTGGCTGGCGGCGTG